AAGTATGGATATATTTTAAAGATAATATTAATTGAAGCAAATATTTATATAAATTAAAATGACATAAATTATTTGATAAATGCTAATTTTCATAATATTTTATAGTATTTAAAATATGATACTATTTATAATTTAAATATAATATTCATGAATTATTTTTTGAATGTATACAATACATAAAATAAATATTTGTTTTATATAACTAATAAATAATTTTATAATAAATGAATTTTTATATAAATTATAAATATATTGCTATAAAAATATAAATTATATGTTAATTAAAATTTTAATAAATAATTATTCTAATGTGTTAATCATATTTTATATTTATAATAAATAATTTATCTTGTGAGATAAAATTATTTTTAATCATTAATATTAAATTTTAAATTAAAAAATTAAACAAAAAAATAAAAGATATACAATGATTGAATATAATCTCCAAAAAATTTTCAAGAATATTTTCTACAAATAGATTCATTTGTTTCTTCAAAGAACAAATATACTCATTAAAAAAAGATAAAAAAAATTGATAAAATATCATAACATTTAATTTTATATTATTTTAAAATCAGAATAGAGTTTATATATATATATGTAAAATTCCCGGCAAAAAGAAAATTAAAATTAAAATTTAAGTATATTTCTAATCATTCATATTTAAGATAAATTTATTTTTTCTTTAAAATTATTATTTTTAATTCTTATAATTTTTAAAAATTTTATTTTAATCTCTTAAGTGGTTAATAATATATATGAAAATAATTAAAATAGATATTATTTAGATTTAATGATATTAATAATTAAATTTTATGTAATAATATTTTATAATTTTTTTAATAAAATATAAATATAAAAATTAAAATAATTTAAATTTTTTTTTATAAAATTGAAAACAATAATTTTAAATACCAGTGACATAAATAAATTTATCTTTAAACAAAATCATATTTAAGTCTGGAATATATATCCGCCGCTACTAGTACCGGAGCGCAGTGTTGGAGCTGCAGTCTTTATTCCGTCCACTGGTCACTGTAATGGCCGATCAAATCAAAACGATGTCGTCGGCGCCTGAGGAGAGAGGCGCTGGAGGAAAACTCAGAAAGCCGCAGCCGAGGAAGCCGCCGCCGAGCCCTTACGCTCGTCCACCGGAGACGGCGAGCCGCCGTTGGATTTCAAAACTTGTGGATCCTGCGTACCGCCTCATTGCTGGTGGAGCCACTCGTATTCTTCCTTCCTTATTCTCGGCCTCTTCTGTCCCTTGTCCTACCTCTGCTGCTGAAGATCAAGGTCATATTGCTTGTTTTTTTGTTCTCTGTTGTTTTCGATTTTTGTGTTTGGTACTTTAGGTTGATTTAAATTCTTGAATGATTCTTGAGTTATTTGTTTCTGTTATCTTTGTTGGCAAATTCAGGTTTGGTTTGTGGGTACCACTGGTTTCATTGTATCCTGAATTTAATTGTTGTGAGCATGAGCTTTTGTTGTTACTGATTAGAAATATTGGAAAGGAATTAAAACCTTAGTGCTTGTATGTCAAATTAGTTGATAGATTTGGGTTGCTTATCTGTTATGTATTTTAGATACTGCAATTTATATGAATCTTTTCCTGAACTGAAAGACATGGTTGTGTTTGGAAACCCATTTGGAACCTTGTAAACTTAAAATCGCCCTTCCTGAAAATAGGAAGGAATGAGGTGGATTGACTTTCAGTTCAACCGAACAACTGAACGGAAATTCGAACATGCACTTAGTTAATGTCAGACAATAGAATTTAAATTTTGAAGTGTTGATTTGTTAGTCGAATTGTAAATCTTTTTCTACTTTGTTGAATCCTTAAACACAAAGTTATTTATTTTGCTTAACTGTAGTGAGAAAAGTGTAAGAAGCTTGCTTAAGGCAACAATAGTTAATAGTGGTGTGGAGTGCCCACCACCAAAAATGCTATAGCAGGATGGATACCATTTGAAACCTAATTAGATTTGTATTGCACAAAGTATGTATACTGAAAAATAAAGAAATTTATCTATGGTTAAAAGCATATTCATAATGAAAAACCAAACAGCAAAAGAAAGACAGATCTTTGAATTCGCCAAAGATTGACCTGAAAACTTGCTTGAAACTAATGGGTCAGTGCTGGAAAATGAAGAACCAACCTTTGGATATCAGAAAACTCGCCAGAAAGTCATCAGTGCGTATCTGGAAAATGGAAGAAGCAGAACAGAGTGGAAGAGAGGCAAGGTTGCAGAACAGAGGAAGAAGTTGTAGGTGTTAGGGCATAAAAAACACAGAGGATAGAGATGAGAAACAAATGAGAATGAACACAAAATGGCAATGCTTCATATTTATTAGTATTTGACAAGTTCCTCCTCCCCCCCCCCCAAAAAAAAAAAAAGAAAAACCCTTGAAATGACATTGGTTTTAGGGACTAACTCCATTTTTGCCATTCCGCTCTGCCCGCTTTTCAATGTGATTTTGGCCGCAAAATGTGCTGCAATGGCTAAGCGCAAAACAATTGCCCTTGGAACTGCGGTGCAAAGCATGGTCCTGGAACTATAACATGCGGTTGATAACTATGCGTAATGCAAAGTGTAAGGTGGTTGAATTAATGGGAGGATCAAAATGTTTGATGGCAATCTTTCTATTGATCTCACCAAAAGGATTTTTAGGTTAAACTTTAAGTGTCTCACATTGCTAAGCTACTTCAAGTAATTCATCATTACTGCCAAAGAAGTATTATTATTCTGCAAGAGCTCAATACAAACGTTAAGTAGATTATGTATCAGAATGGAGGATGTGATGTAAGGGTTATTGGAGTGACATTCTTTTTCTTTATAGACTCCACCTTGGAGATACATTCTCATTATTCCTATCTGGGTGACTTCATGTTGGGAAACTATTTAAAGTTCCCAAGATAGGTGAACAAGTATCTACTATCTACTTCAGCTGTTCAACATGTTAGTGAAAAAATAAAATCATTTTTTTGTATTATTTTTTAGTGTCCTGTACAAAGGCTCTCCACTCTCACAGTAAAATAAGAAAACAGTGACTAACAGCCACAATTTTTTCTTCTCATCTATTCTGGATTTTTTATTTCTCCCTCTCATAACATGGTATTAGAGCTTCGAGAGACAGACCCTAATCTTTTACTTGCTTGGCTCACTGACGGCAGTGTCTAATACCTCCTGACTAACACATTACCTGTGGTGAACCTTCATGATTGTCTCATATATCAGTCATTGCTTGATGCCTTCCTTGGATGGTGAAAAAGCATGGTGAATGAAAACTGAAAAATAAGTGGTTTGATAAAACAAACCATTTATTGTTCTTCAAAGCAAATATTCAGACCCTACAATTCATGTAGCAAGGTGTGCCAGCAAACTAAAGAAAACTATGCAAATGATGTGCGGCAAATGTATGCTGTTTGTGATGTCCTTATATCCTTTATTTCCCCCTTCTAGTGGTATTCACTATCTAGCGATGTTTTGATATTGCACTTGTGAAAGAGATACAAATTTCTTTTAATGAAGACATGGCCATTCCTTTTGATGGATCTAGGTCAAAATACTTGGCATCAAATAAGTCTCATTGCCAACTAGTTTACATACTTGCCTTTAGCAACATGTTTTTGTATTCATGAATCATGATTATGAGAATTTATATGGTGAGGTGGATGGTGTTTAGTCATAAATAGCAAAAATATGTAAATGCTCTTTGTGGGTATATAACTATTCCTGGTTTAAGGAATGCTTTTAAGACAGGACACAATTCAAATGGTTTTTAGGTGCTGTTGCTTTTAGTTGATTGAAGTTAAGGCTAAGTAGTTAATCCTGTTGTTTAAGTGGCAATTTGTGGTGTGCGGTTGCAGATTTGGAACAGGTGCAGGTTTAGGGTTGCAAAAGAAGTGGCCATGATTTGCGAGAACTTGGATGTCGCCTGCTTAAGTGGTTTTTCCAGGTTTTCTTGCACAAAGGAAGGACCTTTTTCTGCTACGTGACATTGCTGGACAGGTCTACTACCTGTGCCATTGCCAGACAGCATCTGTGACCTGTGCCATCATGGACAGCTTCTGCCACCTTCCTCTGATGTTGCTGATTATTCAGTCCTCCATTCAACCTTTGCCATTGGGAGTTAGGTTAATTGGAACAATTAACAATTAACAATTGAGTTAGGTTGAATCCTTAGGTTGCTGGTTAGATCCGGCAGGTCGGACCAATTGTTAGGATACCACAATAATAAAAAAAGAATTGAAAACAGCAACAATAATTAACAAAGCATTTAGATAGAAAATATGTGAATCTATTAATACTGGAATAAAATGCATAGTCCCAAACCAGAGCTCAAGGCTCCTCACCAGAGCGTGATGCTCCTCAAAGAAAGAAAATTCTATGTCCAATTAAGTAACAAAATCTCTCTTTTCTCTCTCTCCTATTCCCCCACTTATTTATACTATGATTCTGTATAACTAACTCCACCAGCTCATCCACTCACTCCTTCGTGACACCACTCATTTTCTTTCTCCTAGAATAGACCCTCCATATTTTGGGCTTGCTAATCATTGGCCCATCAATTACCACCGGATTAAATGACTCATCCCCTTGGACTCTATCAGTCTCCCTTTCAGACACGGGAGACTTAGCTGAACTGGTTGATCATGAGTTTGGGTCTAGGGAAGTTGATAATAAATGTTTTTTATTCTTTTTTATTTTTATTTTTATTTGTTGTGCTTCAATTTGAGTCCAGTTTAACTTTTTTTCTTAATTTTTATTTAAATCATATCATATACTATAATAATAATAATAAGTATAATAAAAATAATAATAATAAAAAAAATTCAATAGCTAAATAATAATAATATAAAAAATTATTTAAAGGACATGTAATATAATAAATTAAATAATACAAGTAATAATAAACTAAATAAAGCCTAGTATGTAATATATAAAATAAAGAAAAATAATAAAACCTAAACAAACCCTAAGATATAAATATAATTAAACAAGGCATAACATATAATATAATCAAATAAATAACTATAGTTAAAAAAATTAGAATAGTGGCCATCCCACATTAGCGGTTTGGAGTCGGCTGCTACACACTGCTATTTAGGGTTGAATACTCAGGTTAAATAGATGGTCAAGCAAGGTGCAATGATATTGGTTGATTGAACTAATAATTTTGGGTATGTCTGACAGCAATTTGATGTTTGTGCTAAAATGGTAATAATGATTTGATGGCATGAGCTTTGGGGCGTTCATTACTGACTTCATTTGCGACAAACAAACTTTCTAGATTTAATGTCTTAAAAGAGATTATTCTCTAGTTCCCCTTAACCTACAGAAATTTCAATTTCCCAAGCAAATTATCCTGCATTATCTCTTCAATATTTATGCTCTATCTTCTATGTGGTCAGTGTAAAACCATCTGGTGCTTTACAAGTGTTGAATGTTTATTTGGTTCCCCTTGTGCTTTCAACTCGTGGACACAATGAGTCATTTTAATGGAGTTAATTCTGCTGCCCATTATCTTTATCTGTTTAGTATATAATGTAATTTCCTGATTAATCTGGAAAATGGTGATTCACTCAACTTTCTGATCAATTTGTGTTGTTTGTTTGACAATAGATAAATTGCAAACTGGTGTCAGTCATGAAGATGATACACGCAGAAGTGATATACATGTAAGGACCGTTTTTGCTTCACATGAAACTAGTAAAAAAAAAAGTACTGCTTTTAATTTTTAGTAGCTTTATATGCTTTGCTTGCTCGGAAATTATTTAAATCCTAAAATAATAGAAAGTTGAAGAAACTGAAGCTACTACTAGAAGAGTTGTAAAATCCTTAATAACTCATGGTCTCATTAATTAAGCAAAACAAAACTGATTTTATTCCTTTTTTTCGCCTCCATATATGTATTTTTGACCATGGTTTTTCTTTTGAAGCTTTTGGCATCCAAATCATCTGAAATGGCTATTTCTGATGAGATCAGTCATAAACTGAAAAGCAGTTTAGACATGGTTTTGGTCAGACAAGATGAAAAAGTAGAGAAAGCTGATGAAAATAGGTTTTCTGATATTGAGCTGCTGGTGAAAGGGAAAAAATTCTCTAGGTACATTAGTTTAACTTATTATAAATTAAGTTTCCCTTGCATGAATGGCTCATTTCTCTACTCTACTATGAAAGTTATTCTTGTTGATCAAATTATTTGTTCCAATATCTTGGAGCTTTGATGTCATCACCTGGCACAGTAATAATAATATTTTTGTTTTGCTGTTGAAATGAAAGTTTTTACTGTCATCATTCTTCTTTTTAACTTATTTTTCTCCTTACTTGGATGTGTGAATAACTTGGATCACGAAAACATGTCTCATACATGCATTGGTGTAATATTAGCATACTTGTCTTCTATTTGGTGAAGCTACAAATAAATAAGCTTTTTTTCCCAATGAGTTAGTTAGGTTCAAATTTGTTTCTAAATAAAATCTTTTTTATATACAGTCAAAGGTAGTATAATCAGACAAAAAAAATCAAATGCTAGTATATATTAAATTGCACATACCTATTGAGCTGACTCATAAGTTAACTAGTCAATGGCGTGAAAGCTTTGGCTTGGCTAATTTAGCAAACAAACCAAAATTCTCATCTGATTAAGTTATTAATGAATTAAACCATGAATTGGATCAAGAGATTACTTGTTTACTTCCATTCCTTGCTTTGGCTTGGCTAATTTAGTAAACAAACCAAAATGATGACTTGTTTTACTTCCATTCCTAGCTGAGTTTGTGTGCTCACTGCTCATGCTCTTAGAAAAACTGTTATTTGTCAGTTTGTGTTGTAGGGTTGGAAAGAGGAAGAGGAGGGTTAATTTTTCATTTTTAAACAGAGTAGAGATCGTAGAGTATTACAAAATGTTTATAAATATGAATAAAGGTCAATTGTAAGTACATGATTGTCTTTCATTTTATCCTCATTTTATTTTATTTTTTTGCCACATAAAAGAGAATATTTACTTAGAAAATGAAAAAAATTACCCTTCTTTCCTTTCCCTTCCAAACATATCCTTAGTAAAATAAACCATTTGTCTATTATCTATGGATGTATCATGTCTAAACATCTTTAATCCTTATGTAGAGATGAATTTGACCGATTAGTGGCGGTATTAAATTCAAGGATGACGGACGTTTCTAATGTTGAACAAGGAAAGGAAAATACAAATTTGACTTCAAGGAAAGATGATGAGGGGCTTGCAATGGCTCACAGACTTCCAAAATTTTCAAATGAACAAAGGCATGAAGAATCGACTGGAGCCATATGGGGGACCTCAACACCTCTTGGTCCATCAAAAGTGAGTATTGCAACTTCTTTTTGAACCATTCACATTTACTGGTGGATTATGATCAAGCTCTTTGCCTTTATTTGAGATCTGTTTAGGGCTGAATTATATGTCTGGACAATACCCACAAGGTTCTATATTTTAAAGTCAGTATTAATTATAAAGATATATAATCCTAATCAAATTAGATAAGAAATCCTATGACTGCTCCTATTGGGTCCTATTATACATATCATTATCATGAAGGAATCACCATGGAGAGGTGTACAGTGGAATCCTCTGGCAAGGGGAATCCACGTTTCCACCTTGAGGATGAGTTTGAGCTTCAAAGGGAAAGCAAATTAGTTAGAATTAGAAAAGTTGCATAGTTAGGGTCAGGTTAAACTAGAGAGTAGTTTCTCACAGAATTTGTTAGTCATTTAGTGATTAAGCTTAAATAGTAGGAGGGGAGTAGGAGTGGGCATTTGGAAAAGTCAGTATCGGAAAACAGGCCAATATCTCAGTTCTGATAGATTTAGTTACTAGATAGTTGTTTCAGTTGAGATTTGAGGGGGAATATAGAAGATATGGTAACATTACTTATTATTGTTATTGAATAGAGATGTTAGTTAGGGAAGGGAGAGTTCCCATATCTCTTGAAAACCTGAGAGTTTTACGCTTTCATTATATTCTTCATCTCCACCACTGTTCTTGTATTTGTCTGATACTGATCTACAGTTATAAATTCTTATTTCATTGCTCTAATTCTGATTCAGTCCTAATATGGTATTGGTTTGAGTCAAACAAATTTTTTTTCCTTAAAATTTGCATGCATTTTTTTTTTAATAATGTCTTATCTTGAAAATTGAAGATTGAATTTTACAAGTACCTAAAAATTGAATAATCTTAGGATATATATGCTTTGTAGAGCATTTCCTTCTTTGGGTCCGATGTAATTTTACTGGTATGATAGTCACATTTGTCAACTTTCCAGGTTCGGGATGAAATTGGTGCTTCACCAGTAGAGATTGCTAGAGCATATATGGGTTCCCGTGCGTTAGAAGCAGGTCCCAGTTCTAAGAGCATGATCCATACAGCTGAAAGCACTGTGTTGCATGGTGATGAAGCTGCAATAAAACCATATGATCCATCACCATCAAAGAAGTCATCAACATGTTGGCCAGGTGCTGTGGTGCAGGATGCTTACATAACACCACAAAGTCAAAGGAACAGATATGGACTTCATAACTTCCCCCGTACTCCTTATTCCAGAACTCTTTTAACAAAGTCTAAGTCCAAGGTATATTTTTTTTTGGTTGTTTGTCTTGTACTTTAATCCTTCAAGCTGTATCCGTATCTGTATTTTTAATTTTTTTTGTTTTCTCTTTTTCACCAGTTGAATCATATGCAAGGAGATAACAGCAACATTTCAACAACTCCCCTCCTTCAATCACAGATTACTATGTTTCCGCAGGTATCTTTCATTGTGATCCTTTTGTGATTGTATTTTATTTGTAATTTGTAATATGTCATTTTTTTAATAGCTTATAAATTACTGAAATTGTAAATCACTAGTGATTCTTTCATGTCATGTATTTTTTGTCTGTCTTACTGTATATTTTCACCAGTTATTGTTTAAGACTTGTAGTGATTATGGATATAAACATGCATAAGTTTAAATAATGGAAGGTTTTAGAAGAACCCTTTCTTTTAATTTCACATTTTAGCACCTGTTCATAACTTCAAACAACTTTTGACTGTACAAGCCAAAACTCTAAATGTTGGACTTGATATTTCAAATTTTGTCGGGGAAAATAGAAGTAATTCATTATTTTTACTCATTAAATTATTTAGAGGCTTTGATTGTTTCCCTAATTATTTTTTTATTAGTTATAGCTTATAAAAGCTCAAATATGGTTGTCTTAGTGTCTATGCTTGGTACCAAAAATTGAAACAATCTCATGTCAAATTAAAGGCATTTGAAACTTGGATAATGTGGGATTTTCTGTGCTAGTGTCAAATAACTTCTACAAAGTTCAGTTAAATAAGAAAATAAGTTTCTGAATCTGTGGTTCAGCTTATTTTATTTATTAACTTTGCTCAATTTGAATTATGTTTCTTCCTTTAATTGCTTTAATGAGTTTCAGTTTTTTTTTTTTTTCTTTTTTCATTTTGGTTGTAATTGGGTTCTAACTTAATCATGTTAAACACAGGATAAATCTAAAGTTGGAGCATCAGAAAGTGGAAATGGATCTGTTGGACCTATTCGTCGGACTAGGCATAAGGTTGGTGCACAATCTTCTTCAAGAAGACCAACTTATTCATCTCTGAATCGCCCTACCCTGGGAGAAAGTTCTGATGTTGATGTTTTCACTCCTGTTGCAAAGAGCACGAAACCTGTTGAGACAAGCTGCACTCATAAGCCACGGGGCTTTGAGGTGGGTGTTCCAACAGTACACATGCATACCAGTTTGATGGCTAAGAAGATATTAGATCATATTGATAGAAACATTCCCACACCTAAAGAGAAATCTGCTGAGCTCAAGTTAGCAACAAAATGGAAGAACCCTGAATCATCTAGTGGTTTCAGTACTATATTGTCAAATGAAGATAATGGCTTGCTTAAATTAAATGATGTTAGCCCTCATAAATATGATGGCTTTGAAGGAAAGAAATTGACACCATGGAATGAAGGTAAAGGGAAATACCATGCTGATATGCAACCTAAAGAGAGTACCCATAAATCTCTGAATGTCAGAAAAGAAGGAACTATGGCATCTGATGCGAATGTTTATAGCAGCATCCCTAGATTTGGAAATGTTAGTGCAATACAACATTTTGGCGGTTCTCAAATATTTTCTGCAAAGTCTTCTAAAGAGGTACTATATTTAATGGCCGTAAAAGCTTTTCACATGTATTTTTCCTGTTTGGCTATCTTATTTTGTGTTGTCATTCTGGTTGAAAAATGATAAAAACTCAAGGATAACTTACGTGTATGTGAGAAGGTGTTAGTAGGGATCCAACGTTGAGGATCATAACTAAGGCAGGTAAAATGTAACCCACTGCTAAGGTGGCATTGGGTTGGAAATGTGAGAGAATGATGTATATGATCTGTGTTCTGTAAGTGGAGTGATGTGAGGGTAGTCTAGAATTGGCATGTACTTTTGGGAGAGACTGGCACTATAGCTTTCTAGGTTATTTTCTTGCTCAGTTACATTTTCTCTGTTGAATTTACCAGGAATTCCTATTATATGTTGGTACCTATTATCTGGTATTATAGCTCTTGATTTAAAAAGCTTTGAATGGTAGCTACACGAGCCGCAATTGAGTTATGGGTGGAAAGTTTGGAGAAGTGGGATGAGATAATGTCTTCTGAAAAGGAATCTCTGGTGATTCACCAAAGGTGGGTGTTGGTCACAGCATCAACTGTCCCCAAACCGGAGAGATGAGAATGACAGCCAATTAGAGGGGGGACAGCAGTTGAGTTTGAGATGAATTTTGGACTGTTGTTCTTGGACCCATGAGTCCCTCACGCAAAGTTAGAGATACTGGTTGTCTCTAGGGACAATGCCGATGGATGAATTAATAAACTTGTGTTATTTTAAGGTGAATGTCGTGTCAAATTTTGAGAAGCTATACAGTGTTGGTGGCTCTTGATGACAGGGGCATTGGACTAGTTTCAGTGGTAGGAAGAGCAGGACCCATCTCAAAGTTGGTAGCAGACCAAGGATGCTGTGGTTTGAGACTTCCTGATAGGCCCGAGAATGAAACCCAAAAACAGACCCTACAAGTCTATTATAGGAGGAAGAATAAGAGTGAATTAGTTAGTTAGAATCTGTTATGAATGTATTTCAAAAATAAGGTGTAAGGGGTCAGTTACAGTTGCTGATTTGTTTACTATAAATAACTCTCTAATTGGAGAGGTAGAGGGGAAGGTTTTGTTTTAGGCGACTGGGATTTCCAGTGTGAAAGGAGAGGGCTCCTTTGAGTGCATTGTGTACAATTGTTAATGGTTTACTGATTCTAGCTAATACAGAGGCACTATTTTCTCTCTTTTCTGTTCTGTTTGTCTTGGTGTTCCTTTCTGTCAAAGAAAGGATCCTAACACTTCCATCCAGGTTTTATGTTTCATTCAAACCTGTTTGGGCCATTGCTGTTTATGAGGCAGACAGGAATGGTAATCGAGTATCATGAGTGATATGTTATTTGAACCAATGTCAGCTCAACTGAAATATGTGGATGGAGTGATTTTATAAAAGGGATATTCCTTCCCAAACTGCTTGCGATTGGAACTGCAGGTGGAAACGAGTCTGTATAATTCAGACTCTCAGAATTCGTTGATAGTGCTCTGCTGTTAGAGGAAATATCTTGGGCACTAATAAAGGGAGGATTGGTACCAAACAATCAAAAGGGGAAAGGGGACTTTTGTCTGTGAAACAATTTCAATGGGGGGCACTAATGCAGATCTCAATCTGGGAATAAAAGCCCAATGAAGCTCAAACCTCCTGAAGAACTATGGTGGTGACAAATGGAGTAACGGAGGCAGGAAACTCAGGCTGAGTTGCAAGAGAGGAGCAAAAAAGGCTATGTTTCAAGTGTGGAGAAAAAGGGGGCCTAAGCACATGTGCATATTCAAGCACTAATTGTTACAAGTGGAAGAAATGGAAGGAGAATAAAAGGAAGTAGGACTGGAGCAAGAGGAGATGGAATTGGTAGTCGAAACACTCAAATTATCCTAGAGGAGTCAAGAAGGATTGACTTCAAATCAATCGTTCAAGACTTGGGGTAGAATTGGTCAGGGGCAGCTGTTTCTATCGGTAGATTGTTCAGCAACCAGCAACTTTTTTTCTAGAAGTGTAGCAGAGGAGTTGAAACTGAAAGTTGAAGACTCCTGAATTCCCAATGGAGGTGGGGACAAGTGAAAAGGTAAATAATAGTGGAGTTTGAAAAGGAATGGTGCTTGAAGTACAAGGTACAGTGAATAGGCAGAAGTTTTTTAGGTTTGATTTGGAAGGGAGGTTGTGTTGCGAATGGATTGGTCTAGTTTTGGGAAAATGAGGCCAACTTCCAAAACTTAATTCATAAATTGGAGACAGAAGAAAATACGATGGTTTTTTAGGGAGATCCTTCTCTTTGTAAAGCACAAACATCTTGGAAATGGAGATGAAAAGGTATTTATTGGAGTTAGAAAGAAGGAACCAGAGGTGGGGAGGAATAGGGTGGGTCTGGTAGTTGGAGGGAGTGGTGCATGAGATAGAAAGGAGGGTGTTAGGGTTTCAGGGGCATATCGTGAAAGCAGGAAAAAATGGAAAAAAAAAAAAAAAAAAAAAAAAAAAGAGAAAAAAGAAAGAAAAAATCCTAACAATATTTAAAAACTTGTATATATCTAATGGTAAAAAATTGATCTCCCCTGGTGGGAGATATAGCTGGGTTTCCCACCCTACCCAGCATCAGGCCAGAAATATGCTGAATTGGCCAGATTGTGTTGATGCAAGGGGGTTATGGGGTTCATTGGGCCAGAGTGAATATTATAATAGATTTACAAAAATATTATGTAAAATTTACTAAAGGAGAATCAATTATTTACAGCAAAAAACGTGTAGTTTCAGACAAGCAGTTGAAACAGGAGTTTGTACAGATCCTGAATAGGTGAGAGATATGCTTTAATGAACAGATTGTGTCTGACATGTTTCAAATATGATACTTGTCAGACAAGCCTTGGACATGTGTCCAACAATCCTCTACCATCTCAATTAATTTTTTTTTGTTTTTTGTTTTTTTGGTTTAGACACCTCTCTAACACAGCCCGAGCAATTCTATTACACAACTTGGACTCCTTTCTGACACGACTTGGATATGGGTTAAGAGAGTAAATCGGCACCTAATCTTATTAGTTAAACACTTACCTAATACTCCTATTATATATATATATATATATATATATATTAAAAAAAGTCTACTTATTTATAAATATGGCAAGGCTTGTAACATCCTTTTTTATTTATTTTTGGTGAGGCTTATTTTCATAGGAATTACTAGTTTTAATGTTTAAGGGATATGATTTATCTTCCAAGGGTCATTATCATATAAAAATTAAGTTAAACAACTTTGAAGGTGAATATATATAAATCTTAATTGTCAATTTAAGTTTTTGTCATGTTAGTTATATATGTATGCCGTGTCCTATATTTTGAACATTAGCCGTATCTTGGTGTCCGTGTTCATGTCGTGTCTGGTGTCCTTGTCAAAGTCTAGTGTCCCTTAGAGTCAGTGCTTAATAGTGTACGGGGTGTGTTGAGTTCTTGGGCCTGACTGGATATTACGACAGATTTTAAAAAAATCATGGTAAGATTGCTTGGCCTCTCGCTCAACTACTAAGAAGGATTATTTCAAATGGTGAAGTGGAGCTCAAGATGCCTTTGAACACTTTAAGGTTGTGGTGACTTCCTTGTGTTGGCAGTTCCGAATTTTGAGACACCTCGCTCTATAGTGACTGATGCCTTGTGGGAGTGGTATTGGAGGGAATTAATGACAATATGAGTAGCTGTTCAGAAATGGAGACATTATGTGCCTGGAAGTTGGAAGACATTTTGTGGTGCATATAGATCAACAAAGTTTAAAATTTTTAGCTTATCAAAGTATTGTGGGGAAGGAGCAGCAGAAGTGGGTCTCTAAGTTGTTTGGATTTGACTCTGATTAATATAAGCCAGGGAATGAAAACAGGGCTGTTAATGCTCTTTCAAGGAAGCTTGAATATCAGCACTTAAGAGGGGTCATTCAAGATTTGTTGCAGAAAACTCAGTCACATCCAAGTTTCCAACTTAAGAGGAGGAGATTATACTCTAATGGGACGAATGGTTTTACTTGGGAATCACCCAAAATACCCATGATACTTAGGGAATTTCATGATTCAGCCTTAGCAGACCGAATAAAAATTTAGGATTGGGTAGGCATGTCATCGATATAGTGGAAAACACATGCCCTTTCTATAGGGTTTGCCCCTTCCACGTATTTTTAGGATTGGGTATATTTACTAAATTGTTGTCTGTTCCTTATTTTTTTCCCTATTGGAGGATTTATATTATTATCCTTCTTTCCCTTTGTAATACTCTTTTCTGTGCCTTTATTTCTTATTTCATCAAGAAGAAAAAAAAATCTGGTTGTGACTTGGAGAAGAACCATGGAACCATGGTGGAAGCCCTTGCATCTTGATCTTAATTTGGTCATTTTGGTTGGTGGAGGTTCTCTCTCTTCACATTAGGACGGAGACAGTCTTTTGGGACCCGTATTGTTAGTTATCCCTCAGCTACTGAGGCAAAATAAAGGGGTTAATAGGGGAGAAAAGAAAGGATAGAAGAGAAAATTAGGTTTTGTAATAATTTTGAGGCAAAATAAAGGGGTTAATAGGGGAGAAAAGAAAGGATAGAAGAGAAAATTAGGTTTTGTAATAATTTTGTCGACTTGGCAAATGAACGGGGTAAATGTTTGGGACTTGGGAGCAAAGATCAAGGAGGGAACGTCATGAGAAAATTCTTGAAATAGTGTTCAGGTTCTGCGGGGTCCTTTCCTATGGGGGAGGTTGGCAGACCCTCAAAGAACCGTGGGAGTTTCTATTTTTATTTTGTTTTTCAGTGTGACGAGGGATTTCTCCTTCGTAAGTAGCTAGCTAGACTAAGTTGTTTCTTTCTCAGTAATAATACATTTACCAAATAGGCGATGATGTAAAACTAATGTCTAGTAGTCAATTCATTTATTATTTTAAACATGTGTAATTTTTTATTTAGTTGTGATTATACATTAATTTTGTCATGATATTATGAGAACCAAGTGTACTGACATGCTAACTGTGCAGGATGCTGTGAAATCGACTCTCCCAAGTGGAGGCCATCCGTTTGTGGTAAATCAAGAAACAAAGCCTCTCACTATCCCTGCAACCAGTAAACCAGTTTTGCCTCCTATTTCAATCAAGAAGCCTGAATCTAGATGGACAGTGGCATCTGATAATGGTTCTGGATTTACCTTTCCTGTTTCAGCATCCTCTTCTGTATTCTCTGAGCTACCAACACCATCCATCACACCACTGTTTTCTGCGGGGGATCAGCAGCAATTAAAAGAAAGATCTACTGAACCTTTATATAGTTTTGGTTTGAAAAAGTCCAATACGGCACTAGTTTTTTCCTTCCCTTCTACAAGCAATACTGCTGTTCAGAATGATGCTGCAGATCTAAAGTTTAACTTTGGTCTGACTGAGAAGCCAAGGTTATCGTTCTCATTTGAAAAGAATGCTTTCAGCTGTTAAATAAAATGGCAAAACAATATTCAAAACCTTGTCCAACTTATTTTGATTCCCCCCTCCCCCCTATTTCACTGTCAATTTGTTGGAATACTGAGAAATTTTTGCTATGTGATGACTTAATATTTAAAGAGGATTACTTTCAAAGGACATATAAATCTAGACCTGTTTGCATTTCTTTTCAAATAACCTTGAATTTTCATTAGGAAACTAAAGTAAGCCATAAATGGCCCCTAACCTTGGGTCAAAAGTTCCCTGAATCTTTATCTTCATTGATGGGCAGTGAGTGACTTTCATTGAAGATTATAACTAAAATCAAAATAAAATCTACATAAAAAAGTTTGAAGATTATAAAATTAAAATTCAAATATTTTTCACAATTATACTATTACTAATAAATAGATTTAAAAACTAAATTTTAAATGTTCAATCATATTAGTCTAAAGTTCAAACAATAATTGTTAACAAAATATTTTAATTACATATAAATCAAAATAAAAGATAATAAAGTACAACATTTAATTATTATATGTCCAATCAAAGTTAAAATAAAATTAAATTCATACAAGTTTAAATAAATTAAATATTAGCGGGTACGAGTATCTATGACTATAGATACTTTGATACCCATACTCTTCCCATTAACATGCGATTATAAAAAATATCCGTATCCATTACTTGCGAGTACCTATTTACAATATCCGTTTTCTATCTATTGCAAATTTTATGTGCGAATACCCATGGATATGAAATTTTTTCACATCCCTACTTTATAAATCTCCTCAACGATATTTTAACTCTACCTTCAACAATTTATGTTTTTGATTGATAACCTACGATATGAAGTTTTATGTAGGCTATTCATTTAGTTTCAATTTCAAATCTTAAATAATTTCAATTAAATTATTTAAATACATTTTTAATTTTTGAAATATATTTTAATTAGATATTAAAATTACAAAAATACCTTTATTTGTAAACTATTAAACTCAGAAATTTCATAATAAATTCAAATTATCTTACTTTAGTTTAAGAATGTTATAGTTATTTAGTACCTCGGAAAATATTTTCGAAGTTTAAACATTCATTTTCGTGTAAAATGACAATTTTTCCGTTGAAAATTAATGAAATACTAGAGTAAGAGTAATTAACTAATATAATTTTAAAAATGTCACTAAAAGTGACATTCCTTGTAGTGCATAGTTTTTTTTTTTATAATTAATATATTTTGCTTACATGGATGCGGAATGGCTTAGCATGGAACATGTCTCATTTAGATGTTGCTTTATAATATTAAAAATTAAAATTGAAACATAATTTTATTGAATAATCGATTACATAATGAAATTCTATTTTTTTTTGGTCAAAATGGTTTACCTGATGTAATTAGTTACATGAGATTTAATTAGTTAAATTTTAAATATAAAAAAAATCATGTTTCACTAATTTAACCAATTACAAGTATGTCAGAAGTAAAAAAACTTATGATGTAAGAAATCTTTCAATTGATTTGCTCCAAGCTCCTTGGATCTTCCTTGAGCAAATTCTTGACATGAAAAAAAAAGGAGAAGAGTTGAAAATGTTGGAGTTTCTGGACTTGGAAGCACCTAAGCCAAGAGAATGATTGTTCACAAGGTGCCAAACCTAGAAGCTTTTCTAGGAACCCTAGATTGTAGGAGTCTAAAATGGACTTCAAGTGAGAGAGAATTTTGCAAATGCAGAATGTTTTGTATCATATAGTGAAAGTGACTACAATAGAAGGAGGAGAGCTCAATTTATAGGCCAAGGAAACACTAAAATTGGTGCCACACTCCATGCTACACTTTGGCGTCGAAAAGTTGAATTTCAAATGGAATTTGAAATTCAAATTTCTTGGCAGCCATATGCTGGCTCCCATGTGTAGATCCAATTTGATTTAGGTTGCATTTATGGTTAATTTGATGTTGCTTCGAGTGGATAATGTGCAACCAACCTTAGGCTAGCACATGTGCACCAAATGCAACTCAAATTACACCTAAATGTGATCTAATTTAGCTAACTTTGCCTAATTAAGATTTTCCTTTCAAAACCTCTCTAATGGCCTAAATACAATGGATAAACTATCCTGAACATTAAGAAATAATAAAAGAATCAAAATGAGCCAAATATTGGGTACCAAAATACCAAGACCCATTAAACCCAAAAACAAACTCAATAAGCCTAAGACCCAAGAATCATAATCTATTTGGCCTAAAACCCAAGAATCAAGATCTCAAAGTGTGGCCCATGTGAAAAATAGTTTGGGCCCACCAAGCCCATCAGGCTTTGAGCTAGCCAAATCTTCTTGTATCCTCTTAGCCATAGCACTGGTGGTTGAACCCTTGGTTCATGCTACTCCATCAATGTATCTCTTATTTGATTTAAAAGACTACTTATCATCATTTATTTCTAAATTGAGCATGATAGAAGTAATGTCTGTACAGAGTAGTTGAAGTTAGGGTAAAACAGTCTTTTGCATAACCTTCTCCGTGATATACAGGATATTACTTTTCCTTCTCATGAATATTTTATCTTTTTTTTCTTTAACAGATTTTGGGAGTTTCGAGACTTCTTTCTTGTTGGATCTATTAAAGAATAATACATTTAATGAAATTTAATGTTAGTCTCATTTGGAAGTATACATTTAATACATAGAAATAGATTATATACTTCATCTAATTTCTTTCATCTTAAAGATAATATATATATATTTTACATTTTATCTGATATAGTACATATTTGTAGATATTTGAATTTGTTTTAAAAAAGTCTTTTATTTATTATGATTAAAACTTGATAAATCCAATATAATCTTTACAATATCATATTTTGATTCAACAAAGTATATGTGGGAGTATAAATTTGGCACGAGTATTATTTTCTTTTTAATTTTCCAAGTTGGCGTGATGCCAACCCCATTCCCCATGGCCTAAATGTTACTGATTATTAATTTGTAGTTTGTGGTCCTCGCGGACAGTTTAGGTTAGAGGATGAGACGCCACGTGTAACTGTGGCCATCAGAAAATGAAGAATTAGGATTAAAGTGGCTCAGAGGAATCACGTGCTATCCTGTTTTTTGACGACAAAGGTCTCGTTTATTATATCTTTCCGACAACTTGTCATTCTGTGGGTCCCTGCTAAAGATCACTTATTTGCATGATGTGGGTCCACTCACCCTTTGCTATGAAACTTTGGCTATATATTTAATCTTTTTCCCTAATTGTATTTTTATTTTTTGGTCATGCATATGTCATGATTTCACAAGTTTTACTATTTGATTCTTGAATTTGTTAATCTTATCATTAAAATTTTATAATTAATATATTTTATCAATTAATTATTTGATATCATTACCTAATAGATAATATTAATTATTGATACGATATATATAATTATATCTCATAATATAATACATCATCAATAATTAATATATTAATGGTTAACTAATTAGTAATCTTATATATTAACAAATTTAGTGATAAAAATATAATAAAAAAATAAAAAAATGTATTAAATATGTCAATTAATTTGAAAATTGAGTAATAAAATTCACAAAAATTGTTAATATGATTAACAAAAATGCAATGTTTAGAATTTCAATTCAAGTTCAATTTTCCACTCCCAGTATTTTTGGTCCCTAGTTTGTCACTGTTTTTTCTATACTTCTATATCTACAAATGTGTGAATTGTAACTTTTAAGTTAATCTATAGTTTGAAGTGAATTTTTAAAATACAAATATATTAAATTCTATATAAATATTTTCAAGAATTTTTATGAATAATCAAATATAATTTAACTATTTTCATGAATATGTATTTTCAGGTATTTTTTGAGAATCATGATTAAAAAAATTCTTCCTTAACACATGTTTAATTTTGTTTGGATTAAAAAAATATTTTTTATGCGATAAATTCACTTAAATCGCAGAAAAAGAATCTTAAGTTGTAAAAACAAGTTATTTTTCTTAAAAAAAACTATTTATAAGTTTCAACTAATATCTTAAATAACCATTTTTTTATTTATAATTAAATACATCTTCTTCTCTTCTACCTTGCTGTATCTGCATTTTCATTTTAATGGAAGGCTAAAACTCTTGGGGTTGGCTCCTTGAGCAGATTGTAATCTCCATTTGAGGTCTTATTCGTATATGCATTTCTGTTACGCTTACTTCTTCTTCATTGAACCTCTGCATTAAAATGCTTTCAGCACCTGTTCATGTTTAATGAATCTGGGTTGCTGCATATATAAGGCCACAATTTGCTTAATCTTGTGGGGAGGTTTAATGTTGTATATGTTTGCTTAATTCGTGTAGGAAAATCTTGAGTTAATCTTCGCTTAGTTGGTTAACTCGGATGGAACAAGGATTAAGTTGTGAACAGAGAAATCTTTTGAGAACCAGGGATAAGAGAGTTACAATCTTAACAAGGAGCCAATCGATTTTGCTTGCTGTGCTACTTTGCATTTTATTGTGTTTTAACCTTGATTCTGAACAAATCTCCCCCCTTCGTGTTTGAACCTTTGACAGAGACAAATGGTCCTTGGAAGACGACCTAGGAAAGCTTCCTAGTATTACATTTAACTATTTTTATTTGACCAGGTACGACCTCGATCAATGGGCTTGTGGTATTTGAACCCATGGATACAAGGTTTAAATGTCCAAAATACTCAATGAAATTCAACATAATCATGAACCATGTCACCTTGTTGGTTGTATAGTGGCCTTGTTTACTTTTCAACAACAAATCCATTAAGAAATATTGTCATGGCATTGAGCAACTTGGGTAAATCATGGTAAGATTATTCCTAAATGCCATATAAGTCTTCAATTTCCTTTTGCTTTGCCATCCATGCTTTGCGGTATGAGATTGTGTACCTTTCAGCACTTTTGATGTGTGATATTATTGTTGGAATTGAAATTGATAGACCACTCTCCACCGATGCAAGAATACTTTGGCTAATATATACATAGCCAAGGTTGACATGATCTTGTGTGATAACAGGGGATGAACAAGAATGTTCACTTGATAGCTTACAAACCTCCCATTTTTGGCTTTTGTTAATGAAAGCCGCTCTGCACCTCCAATCGCATCCAACATTAACACATCATGCAACAATTAATGTTGGTGACAATTT